GTACCAAACAGGCCCAAAATCACAAGTATTATTATTAAATAACATCTTAAACTTAGCATATCATCTAAAAATTCATAAACAATTAAATATGTCAAAGCAAAATTAATAACAATTATTTCAATCTCAAATCTTAATGTCACATGTTCACAAGTTAAATATCTCAATCATAAGTCATATATCAAAAATCACACAATATGTAGTGTGGAGTTCATTGATGTGCATTAACAACACATGTGCCAAAGTTAATTAATCATGATACTCACCCAATTGTGCAGGGATCTACTGATTACCTCAAAAGCGCCATTGAATGCCCAAACTTTAAGCTTGGATCCATTTACTCCGCAACCACACATATACATATATCAAACATGTACAATACTCACGTACAAAATACAAATGTGGAAATAAGAAATTAATTTCCAACATAACAATTGCATTTCAAAGCCCTTAACATTCACTAATAAATTCTTGTACACTTCCATGAGTCACACGAACATGATCTCAAATTTCCACACAAGTGAAATTACTGATTTCGGACAGTCAAATTTATAACAGAACATGTAGGTTGAAATTTAATATTATACCAAAACATTAGATTCATCATTTGAATTCTAACTAATTAATAAGGCTCTAGTTTCGATTCTCACCCACAAGTCTCGTACATGCCCTAATATCAATACATTCCTAAAACAATACTATATATATATATATATTTAAGATTTGATTTCATTAACTCAAATTGATTCTTAGTAATTAATTAATCATTTTATAATTTACCTAATTAAAAACCAAACCCAAATCAGTTCCTAAAACTCATACTTACCTCTAGATCCACAGCACTAATTGAAGAAGAAAACAACAGAAACCAAGGAAGTTCAAAGGGATGAAGCACATCCTCAAGCCACCAGCTGACAACCCCTTCCTCTCCTTTCAGTGGAACGGTGAAAATGGGAAGAATGAGTTTCCTAAATCGTTTAAGGGAAGCTTGTGGCCTTTCTAAAGATCTTCCAAAGTAAAGCCAAAATACTTGATTCACATGTTGCCACATGTCACGGAGGTTTGTTGAATTAGTTAGATATTTGCCAACCACCTCCGAAGTTCATTAAATAAGTCAATATTTTTCAACTATTTAAAATTTCACTTAACGCTCTCGAATTTTAGATTTAATCAATTTAGTCTCTAAGAATTTAAAATAAAAGACTTTAACTTATAATTTATTCATTCAAGTATATGCAGTGGTATAAAACTTGTTAGAGGATTTGGTGAGAGGGAGAGGCTTAAAAGCTACGGTTGCAAACATGGCCCCCGAGATGGAAGGAGGAGGAAGGAGGAATAAAAAGGGGTTTTATAGTGACAAGGAAGTGGAATAGTAATTTTGAGAAGTATGAAATAATCTCCATCCTTGGATGAGTTCTTCTCTTAAAATGGGGACACTGGCCTCCCATCAAGGATTGTTTTATTATCCTTCCTCATTTTAATTTACCCATTAGTTAAAGGAGTGTGATTAGACAAGTTTAAGGTAGAATAAAAAAAAAAAAAGATGAAGAATTATTCAAATTAACTTTTGGTAAATACAATATTGGAGGACGTGAGAAAATGGTTTTGCACTTTGGTTTTCTTGGTCTTAGCAAACTACCTTGGACAAAGGAAAATTTCTTTAATTTTTTCCTAGGTTAGGTTAGGTTTGACAGCTGACAAGCAAAGAAATGGTTGACAGACATTTGGTCCTCTAGCAATTTCAATAATGTACTTGTCACTACGTGACTTCATTTGCACTACTTAGCTTATTTTCCACTTCTTTTAAAATGAAAAGCTTTTATAATATTGGCATTCGTCCATGGTTCACAAATGCATCGTTTCTCAACCCTGGAAAGGAGGATAATGGGAGAGTCATCCTCTGGACCGTCATCAACAACAAACTCCTCATCCATGTAACTAGGGATGGTATTGAAGGAGAGGATGATGGGGTTTTCCTTCGCTACTAGTTTGTCACGATACGAAATTCGTGGTGATTCAGGAACTACCAGTTGATCTATTTGAAGATTTGGTTGATGAATTAGAGCCAATGGCGATTGCTGGCATATTTGCCTCGATCATGGGGATGTCTGGTAGCTTATCCATCAATGGTTGTACCACTGTAGGGGCCATTTCCAGGGGAGAAGCAGATACACTTTTTCAGTCACAAAAGCCTTCGCCTTCTGGCGCGCTGCTACCTTAATTTTCTTCGATATTTTTGTGACACTCATAGATAAATTTTACATCTATAAAGTATGAAAGAGATATGGTATGTAGGTTAACATCTATTAACTTTTATTTGTTGTGTTATAAAACAATAAAACCCAATAAATCAAAGCCGATGATATTATTGATAGGCGCAGTTATTAAAATCTCGGTCAAGAGGATTAACTTCTTGTGAAAATGATGGAGGTTTCGAAGCCAAATTTTCAAAGGGCAAGAGTTTCTCAGGAGCCAAAAAATAAAAAATAAAAATAAAGCTCTATTTATCACTTAAGAGTCATTCCAAATGCTTCAATTTATTATCTTTAATCATGAATTTATCCAAATGGCAAAATATGCATATTAACCCTTAAAATTGTCAAGTTGAAGCAAATCACTATTTATAAAAAGAAGTTAGTGCATTTTATCACCTTAAAATTTCGCTTTGGAGATCTTAATTCAAATTTAATTACTGATATCATTAAATTTAATTACTGATATCATTAAATGTTAAGCATTAAATATATTTAAAATAGTATTAAAAATTAATCAATCTAACTAAATTACACTGATTCATTTTAAGAAGATTGGATTAGTTTGAAAAGTTTACTAACCAATTAAATTGGTTTGATTTTAAAAATGTTAAAATATAATTTGTTAAATACCATTTTTGGTCCTTCTATCATAAGGAAAAGCTACTTTTTAATCCTTGTACCGAAGAAATCCCCCTTTTAATCTTTACTATTTGAAATTTGACTACTATTTGAAATTTGACTCCTTTTTAGTTCCTCCGTTAAATTTTGGCTGATGTGGCAGCTTAATTAATGGAAAAACTTATTTTTTTTCTTTACTTAAATTATGTGGAAAATCCATCTGTAAAAATTGATGATATGGCAAAATTTTTTGTCTAATATATCATAAACAATCATTTAATCACATAATTACCATTATAAATATTTTAAAGGTTATTTTGTGAGACTTTAATGGCTAATTTACCCTTATCTTCTTCCCTCTTTTGTCTCATCCTCTCCTTCCTCCGGCCTTCCTTTTTCTTTTTTTTTTTCAACTTTGCCTTCTGAAAATCAGATCTTGGGTTCACAAGGAACCTAGGATTCAGGGTTCTTCGCAAACCCAGGTTCTTGAGTTCCTCGCGAACCCAAGACAAACCTAGCTCTCACCTAGCTTTGTGATGAACCCACCCAGGCATGCACTGGCTACCCAAAATCAATCGGCCCCTTGAAATTAGCCCCATGTGTTTAAGATCCTATTTCTCGTAGATATTGGAATATTTTGCTTGATTTGGTTGTTTGAATGAGATTTTCATTGTACTAAGTTTATGAACCCATAAATAAAATTTACATATTTGAGTTTGCTTTCATGTGTGTGTCTCATGATGTTTTAATTTCCTGAATTTTTTGCTGCTCTTGGGTTCATTTTCAATTCTATCACTAGATGTTTCTAGAGTTGTTTGTTTGAGAAGAACATGTTTTTTTTTTTTTTTTTTGGGTAGAGATTGAGAACCCAGCTCGTGCCTAGGTTCATCATGAACCAAGGTGCGAGCTGGGTTCGTTGCCAACCCAATCGCGAAAGCTAGGTTCATCCTGGGTTCGCAAAGAACCCAGGACGAACGCACCCAAGTGTGCTCTGGGTTCGTCACGAACCCAAGATGAACTCAGGCGCAATGAACCTAAGTCACATCTGGGTTTGTGACGAACCCAGCAAAGGTTTAAAAAAAAAAGAGATGATAATAGAGGGAAAGGAGAGGATAAGACAGAAGGGGGAAGAAAATGGGGGCAAATTAGTGAAGATTTGAGCTTTAATTGAGATGAAGATTGGTGTGAAGATTTAAGGGCTTTGATGGAGGAAGGTTTGGCGAAGAAGAAGAAGAAGAAGAAATCAATGGGTGAGAGGGGGATTAAGTTCAGGCAAAGGTAGAGAGGATCAGGGATTTGGGCTTAGGAAGAAGATGAGGATAGAAATGGGAAATGAAAAGACAAAGGGAAACAATGATTTTTTTCTTTTAATTGTTTTAGAACCTATTGATTACATGGAAAATAAATTTGATTGTCAACTCATCAATTTTGCAACGTGTAATCATATGTCGCCATTAAAAAGAAAAAACAAAAGACATTTAATGGATTATTGTGTCATGCTGTCACTTAACTGATAGAAGGCTTAAAAAGGGGTCAGATTTCAAATAGTAAGGATTGAAATGAGGATTTTTTCGGTATATGGACTAAAAAGAAGCTTTTTTTTATAATAGAGGGACCAAAAAGGATATTTAACCAATATAGTTCAATCCCACACGAACACCCTTATACGCATACTCCACAACTTCATCATTTTGATTATAACATTTTTGAAAATTCTCAATTGAATATCAAAGACTTTTTTAAGACAAGTGAGTATAAAAAACTTGAATTTGCACTTAGAAAATATGAATTTTTATATATTTTAACTTATTACTTTAGACTTGATTTGGTTGATATTTGAATGAATTGCATGTGATTGTAATGGAAGTAACATATTTTTATTATTTGTGCAAAAAAGAACTACAATGCATGAAATTATAAATTATTTTCTAAAATGTGCTCTAAGCATGTATTAATTACACCTTTTTACAATAAATTTTTGTAAGATAATTTTAAAATAAATATTATTTTTAACACTAGTATCATGCGAAATATTTTAATTAGATAATTAATAAATTTAAAATCAACATGTATTTTTTCTATACAAATTAATTATAAAAAAATATATAATTAATACATCCTCAACTTATGTCATCTTTAGAAATTTTGGGACTCAAGTGCACCTCTTTTTAAAATTTTAGGGATAAAATTGTAATAGAAAAGTTAAATTTGGGACTAAATTGAGTAAAATTAAAGTTTGAAGATCAAAGAATATTGGAACTGAAATTTTAGGGACTGAATATGTTACCATCAAATTTTGAAGGATTTTAACGGAAGCTTGAACCGAGTTATAACGCTGGCGACGAAAGGGATGATGATTGCTCCTTTTCTAAAAAAAACGATTTTTTTTTTATTCTTTAAAAGTAGGAAGATGAGAAAGACTCTTTTTTTTTTTTAACATAAAAAATTAAAGATTAAGCCTTTCATTAATAAGAATTGCAATTTTACAAACTATTGATTAGTCTGAATAGAAAAATTATAGAATCTTTTAAATACATTTTTAAGCTAAATTTTCAAAATAAAAGAATGAATATTAAGAAAAAAAATTTATTATATAACTTAATGTAATTTAATTTTAAATTAATTTAATTTAATGCAATTTTTAAATAACAATGGTAGAAAGAATGAAAAAAAGAATGCACCTGACTCTTGCAGCTTAGTGACAATAGCCAGTTCGATGCATTCTTCCCTCCCCGGACTAGGTTCGAAACCCGCAACTTGCAAATATGTTCAAAAAAAAAAAAAAAAAAAAAAAAAAAAAGAAAAGAATGCAATTTCATCTATGCCACTATTATCGTCGTATAAAAAGTCAACACCTGGCATTGTCACCACCATCTTGTCGTATCATCTACATTAGGGTCGCCACTTACTGATCCGGCGGGGCAGTTAGGCTGCCCACCACTCTCCTCTTTTTACTACACACCCACCCAACCGGAGACCAGACTCACTCATGCCTTGCTTCACCCCCCGAAATTACCCTTGGTTCACCTAAACTCCATCAACTACACGCATATTCAACCAATCCCATCCTCCTCCTCTGCCCGAACCCCTGTCGATCCAATTGATTCGTCCTCTGTGCCTCCCTGATTCATGGCCTCCAAGCATGACAACGTTGTTTTCCCCGACGATGACCTTGACGAAGAGGAGGAGCCGTCCTCCTCCGACAACGACCTCGACGAAAACGATGAGGAAGACGAGGAGTTAGGGGAAGAAGACATCAATTCCCCCTCTACATCGTCGCGGATTCCGAGGATAGCCACCGCCGTGATTGCTACGCCCGTATCCACTATCCCTCCTGTTGCTCTCGCTGTACCTGTCGCATCAGCCGTGACAGTCGCCGCTGTTCCCTTGGACGAACCCGGACCCGATCCGAAACGACAGCGGATCGGGGATGCTGTGGTGGAGAAGAAGCCGCAGCAATTTGATGATTCGAGACGCATGTTTCAACGCTTGTGGACGGACGAGGACGAGATCGAGTTGTTGCAGGGGTTTCTGGATTACACGGCGCAGCGTGGAAACACGATTTCTCACCACCACGACACGGCGATGTTCTATGATCAAATCAAGTCGAAGCTGCAGCTGGATTTTAACAAGAATCAGTTGGTGGAGAAGCTGCGGAGGTTGAAGAAGAAATTCAGGAATGTAACGACTAAAATCAGCACAGGAAAAGATGTTTCTTTTAAGAGTCCCCATGATCAGGCTACTTTCGAGATTTCCCGGAAGATCTGGAGCAACGAGCTTGGAAAACCGGGTGTTGGTGGGGTGGAGGACAATGTGTTAGATGATGATGAAGCCAATGTTAATAACGCAACTCTGAGTGAAGATTTTGGAGATAAGAGGACGCCCAAGTCGAGGAAAAAATCGCGTTCTAAGCCTGGTGTCAAAATTGAAGAGAAACGCGTTATGAATGATGGGTTTTTTGTTCGTAATAGTAACAACAACGGTAATGTTGACAGTGTTGCTGCCGGCAGTGGTGTGTTAAGTGGCGGTGGTAATCTTGCGAGTTTGATAGAGGGGACAGTGAGTGGCTGTTTGTCGCCCTTATTTAAGGGGTCGTTGAGTAGTGCAATGGGAGGTAGCTATGGAATGAGAGGGTATGGTGAATTGCCCTTCAATGCAATGCCGCTGCATTTTGGTGGAGAGTTGAATTTGGGTGGTAGAGGGAGTGGTGGAGAATTGGTGGACGAGCGGTGGAGGAAGCAGCAGATACTGGAGTTGGAGGTGTATTCCAAGCGGTTGGAGTTGGTACAGGACCAGATTAAGACAGCCTTGGATGAGTTGCGGTCAATTGGAGGATGATTCAAGTGTAAGTGATTTGGGGATTTCCTGTAAGATTTTGTGACTATTTATTGATAGCTGATACTGTAGGGAGTAACTGCTTTGAGTTTTTAACTTTGGGTCTTTGTTTTTCTTTTGGTAGAACAGTTGTTGAGTAAGAGTTCTACTTATTCAGCCTGCAACAGTTTGCTCAAGTTACTCATATTTGTACACAGGGTTTCATACATTGTTCCAAATAACTAGCTTAGAACAATGCACAGATTGTAGATTTTGTGGAACTGGATTTAACAGTTTCATGTTGTGACTTGTGACATTTTTATGGAAGTATTGTGGTGACAAGAATGAGATTTCTATGTCACAGACAGTGATGGGCTGATTATCCTGTACCTGCCAATTCCTTGTTTTGTTACCTTGCTAAATTACTTGATTGTCATCATAGACTCTTACTGCAAACTATATAAGTCTGGCCTGACTGAATTTGTAGGTATACATGGTATATTATGGAGAATTTTTATTTTAACTCAGTGTTTGCCCTCCTTTCTCTTGATCATCTTTTTATGTTGCCGTAGACATGCCTTGAGATATGAAATGCTAGGATATCCAAGGTACTAACATTGAATGGCAAAGGACATTGTGTCACAATGATTGTGCTGGTCTTTCTTCTTAATAAGGATAAGCATACTTGCTTGTGTTGTGTTTTGTCACTCAGATTTAAACAGTTATTGAGAATTTTCTATTTCTTCTGCTCTTCTATAAGAAAGACCATCTTCCGTCACTATCCAATTTGAAAATCTTTCTGTCTCTATATGGGACTTGGAGGCCCACTTTGTTTGCAAAAGACAGACGAGGTTGTTAGAAAGTCTGTTGAATTTTTAATCTCTAGTTTAATTGGAAGTTTAGGAAATTGATGTGTGAATTTTTATTATGATCTTTGAATGAGGTGCATATTAAAAATTGCCAAAAAAAGAAAAATAATTTTAAAATATACCAAATTTGTCGGGACACTCCACCATGAACACCAATATATAATATATATTTTTATGTGGATAAGGTAATTAAAAAAGGTATGGATCCTACTGCCAAAAAAAAAAAAAGGGCTATGGATCCTACATGTGGGTCTTGTAGCCCGATGATTTTATATATTATCTTAAGGTACATTTTTTTAATTTTATAATTGGAGTTTGAATTCTCTCTATTTTCTCAAAAATCCTCTAGTGATCTCGCACGTGTGAAATCTGGATGCGGGTGTGTCACTTACTTTACTGAAAGTAAGAAAGGAGGACTTTTCTAATGACCCTCTCCTTCTTCACGGTCAACTTCTTTACAGATGGCAAAAAGAACGTTGGATTAAAATGAAATTTGCACTTTCAGACGATTTGCAAGAGGGAGGGATACTTTCCTGCAAAATGGGTTACGAAATCTATCTTGGATAACTCCAAGGATTTAAATACTACCATGACTTAAAATTAACAAATTCTAATTATTCTAAATTACTTGCAATTTGAAATAAACTTGCGAGAAAAAAATGTACCCAAATTAAATTAAACATGCTTATGGTAAAATTAAAATGCTATCTATTGACAGATTTGGAAATTAAATTGCTGCATAATTGGAAATTTAACCCTAATTAGCACTACAATTAAATGTGAACAATGAATAAACTAAAGAACTTGAAGTTGGAAAGAAGCATGAAAACCACACAAGTAATCATTGAAGCAATGCTACTTAAAATAAACACTAAATTAATTACAGACAGAAAATGAACAGTACCTGGAAGAAACTTGAAATGTTGAAATTCATTGCATGAAGTGAAACTGATGTAGCAAGTACATAAATTAAATTGTCTACTGAAATGATGAAGAATACCCTAATCCTACTAGAATCTGTGCTGAAATCCGAAATCTGGAAGCATATGCAGAGAAAATGAAAATATGAAAATTTGCAGATGTTTGAGTGGGGCTGGCCATCTGTTCTTACTTCCAAAATTTCCTTTTTGTTCTCCTTGTGCCGGCAATAACTTTCACTTTCTGCAGTTACTCAATCATGGGTGATTTCTTGAAATAGTGAGACACCTCACCTTTTGATCTGGTCTAATCTTCTTGCAAATTTCGCCACATGTATTCTTATCAGATAAAACCCCCTTTTTAACTGCAATCTTCTCCTATTTTCCAGCTGCCATTATCCCTTTTTGTCTCAAAAAGATAATTACTCCATAAAAAATTATTTTTACCTCTCATATTTTGTCAACACAAGTGTTGATCTGTCATGGGGCCCAGAATCCGAATCTGACATGGATCAAACTCCTCCAACCAATAAAAAAAATATTGTACACGTGACATTAATTTAAAATTTTGCAATTTATGGTGTAAACACCCTCTAAGTTGTAAATTATTTTTAAAAAATATGAATCTTGAGTATGATCTTGTGGTTTAATAATTATTAATTATTTATGTAAAATTCTTTTCGTACTATTTTAAAATGTGAAATTCAAGTCTTATCTTTTATATTAAAAAAAAATAAAAATAAAAAAGGTATGGATCCTATTTCCATAGAACGGGGAGTTGGTAATAGTAATTGGTAAGTCACATCTACCCGACATATTCTGGTTGGAAGGCAATGATTTCCAGTCTTTCTATATGTATATATATGCATGAACTTGATACTTCTGTCTGCAGTTTCATCTATTATTCATGTGCACAAGGATGTTTCTGTAAGATGGGAGGGACTTGAGTTCCATTCTGTCTCTCTGCAGGTTGAGCTCATAATTTATCTTTATTTTCTGTTTTATTTAAGAGATAAGTGAAAGTTTAAAATGTCTTGACATTTTAAATATTGAAATTTTTTGTCAAATTATTCAAATTCTTTTAATAAATTTTTTTATATTTTGATTTCTCAAAGATAATTTAGTTTTGGACCAAACCGTTGAGTTTAAGTGGTTCATTTCTAACTCTTTAAGCACTTAAGTTTGTTGAGCAAGGTTTTAAACCATATCAACGTCTTAAAAAAATCCCTTATCTCTCAAATTGTATTTTGTTAAAAAAAAAAAAAAAAGGAAGAAGATAATTTAGTTTTTTTCATTATCAATCTTGTAATTTTGGTTGTCAAAACATTCTAATTTTCCTCCTTCCCCTTTATTTAGTCATTTTAATCTGCAAATTGATTTGAGATGGGTGGTTCGGTTTTTGCTTTATGGCTCACTCTCTGTGAGCATGAGATGGATAATCCAAGTACATCAACCATTCAGGTCAGGGTAAGAGGAGTTCCACTGCAGCTCCTGAGATGGTCCCGTTGCATCTTGCACCAGCACATGGGCAACCTAATTAGCATCGCGCTTAACATGAACATAGTGGATATGGTCAAGCCCCGATGCAAGATTACATATTCCACACACCAATGGACTGACCGAAGAGAACAATAGCCCTGGTTTACAACATCTCTAATTGCTATCAGGGAATCAGTTTCTAGGATTATCTTCCTGTTTCCAAATTCTGCTGCAAAGCGTTAAGGCATGTGAAATTGACAAAGTCTCCACATGATCACTCAAAACACAGCCTTGTTAGGTAGATATTATTCTGATTCTAATATCAAATTACCACACATCTACTTAGATATATTTAAGCCGTAAATTAAAAAGCAAGAAAATATACCTTTAAAAGAAACTTTAATGGTATAATTATAATACCATATGAGTAATATTATCAGTTTACAATAAGGACTTCATTCTATGATTGATTATTTTCATTTATAAGTTTACTCACGATATTATATATACATATCATTAAATCATTAAATGAGTAAATGCATTCAATATTATGGATTTCATGTGAATAAAAAAAAACTAATAATTTAAATGACATGTTAAGTTGTATCAAAAGGTGGTATAAAAAAATTATCCCAAAATCATTTTCCTTATATATATTAACTCATTTAATGTCACTTTATAATTATAACTTTATAATTCATGACATTATATTTATAATAATTATACAATTGCTGCAAGAAAAAAAAAATTCAAACTAGGAGATTGGTAATATTGGTATTTGGTGGGTTTCTTTGGGCCAACGTATTGGCGGAGTTGGTTTTATCAGTTTCGCCCAATAAAACCCAACCCAACCAAACAAAACAGATGAAAAGTCCATGAGTGCATGAGTGGAACCTAGTTGCAATCTGACTGACTTGCCCACCTTATCCGACTCCTTTCCAAAGAACAGCATCTAGCTTTCCATGGATCCCGTACCCTGAGTTTCTCCTCCACTTGGTAACAGAAAACCTCCAATCTTTTCTACAGAAGAAAGGAGGAGAAAATAAACAGAGAATCACAGAAGCAAAAGCTAAAATCCAAATGGCTTCAGCAACCACAAGACCCATCTTCTCTTTCCTCTACCCAACCCTATCTTCTCCAAAACCACTCAAACCCCAAATCTCCCAAATCTCATTCCACATTAAAACCATAGACAAACAGAAACCCCATTTTCTTCTTCATTCCATTGATGTCTCCAAAGAAGATACACCAACACCCACTTCACTAAACCAAGAAGAAGCCCAAACCCCAACTCAGGAAACCCCTGAAGAAAAGTTTGACGAGAGGAGATTAGAGGAGAAATTTGCAGTGTTGAACACAGGAATTTATGAGTGTAGGTCATGTGGGTTCAAGTATGATGAAGCTGTAGGGGATCCATCCTATCCAATCCCACCTGGATTTCAATTTGAGAAGCTGCCCGAGGATTGGAGGTGCCCTACTTGCGGCGCAGCAAAGAGTTTCTTTGAGAGTAAGAGTGTGGAGATTGCAGGGTTTGCACAGAATCAGCAAATATGGGCTGGGAGGGAATGCACTCACCTCAGGACAGAAGGCTCTATTGATATATGGAAGCTTGTTCTTCTTCTTTTGCCTGTTCTTGTCTGGGTACTTTTTGCAATAGGTAAAGAGCCTTTTGTTAATGAATGTGTATTCCTATTTGTGTTATATTAACAAATAGAAAGATTCAAGAACCCATTTGGCATAATTGTTGATGTTCCATCCAACAGAATTGTAAGTATTATATTTTTAAAAGTCAAAAAATTCACTCAATAACTTGGTGTGCATTGGTATCTCCCTGTGAAGGCAAGAAATCCTGAGTTTAAGTTGTACAACCTGCAGATAGAATGGATAAAAAGATGATAGAAGCACGCAAACCACAATTTTAAAAAAGTCATCCACAAGAGGAAGCTACCAAAGAAAACATAAGATAAGAAGAACCTTCAAATTTAATTTGGTTTTCTAAATAAAAGTTCTCTTCTCAATTAATCTACTAAATCAAAGAGTTGACATGATTGATTTGTATCTGCTATTTAGAGCATGTTAAACTTTACAATGAACAACAATCGAATTACATCAATTCAGACGTAATGCCTTTGCTGATTCCTGGCAAAGGAAAACCTGTATATAAAGAGTGATATCCCCATGTACAGCTACAAACATCACAATTGCACAAGTTGTGAACAAAACAAAAGAATTTGCAGCCTACTTGAAAACAGGCAATGATTCCAACCTTGCATCTCCTATGAGACGTTGCAATATCTGAGTTCTGGTAACTTTTCCCAACATCTCAAGTTTAATCCTAGTTACATACCATACAGTGATACAGACCATGTAAGCGATGCTACCCCATCCTTAGTGCCAACTTTGACATGATTATAACTTACCATGTGATTTTTTGCCTTCAAAAGCTTATCACCAGAACCATATGAAATTACAATTTCACACCAGTCAATTTCCTTCTGATTCTATAAACTGATAGTTGACCTCCCTTCTATGTTGTGACACAATGCACAAGTAAATATATGTTTATGAAACCTAAAACAAATTTCTAATTAATTGACAAAAAACCTAACATTCTAAGCTTCAAATAACCTATGGTATATGGGATCTTATGAAAGTTTAATAACCTAAAACAAAGTTACCCATTACTGTTGGAGGGAGCTGCCTTGACTGAAAAAATAGCAACACCAACCGTCTGCATAATCACTGCTGTTTTTCAGAATCAGTAACTTCCTGTGGAACCCGTGTCTTGACCTGATAAACCTTTTTGACCTGCTTCTTATAAGCTCCACCATACATGGTTTCTTGTTTGAAGTCAACTCCAGCATTTCCACTACCTGTTCTACTGATCCACTTGGTAAGTGGTGATGGAAGTGGGCCCATGCCCTGCACAACCTGGTGCTCTAGATATTGTGAGGATCTGGCATTTGGCATCCTTGAAGACATCTCCGCAGGTGCTCTACCATTGATGCTACTGTCAAGTGTTAAAGCAGACATACCTGTTCTTGAATCATGATAATGTTCTTGATATGGTCTATCATGTCCCCTATGGTTGTTTCTGCTGCCTTTAGAGCCATTTGATGAGAACAGATATCTAGGATTGCCCATTATCCCTTGTTCATTGCTGTGATGTCCATTATAATAATTTCGTTCATTAATAAAGCCCCTCTCATAACCTGCTGGTCCAGCTGGTCTTGGTCTACCGCTGATGTAGTTGCTTGGGATATTATTATGATATGATTGATGCTCCAAAAAACCAGAGGATGGACCATTAGATTTGATATTAAGTGTATTCCTGACAAGACGATGAGCTGCTTCACCGAGTTGAGGGCCAGCTATGGCCCCAGGTACTTGTGGCCTGGAACACAAAGTCAAGAAATAAAAATTCTAATAAACATACATAACTAGTCCTATGAACAAAAGTAAAAAATATATGCAAAAAATATAACAAAACCATCTCATGTCAAATTTTTTAAAATTTTCCTCTCTTCCTCTACTTCACCAATTATTAGGTAATATTTCTTATCTCTATAATAATTAGTTCAATTCTATACAACCAAATTGTATGTTCAATTAATATGGCAGAAAATGAGAGAATATATGCAATTAAGATGACAATGAGAATAAACTATTCTAATTTAGGACAGTTCAAGGCCAAAAAAAAAAAAGGGGGACAGTTCTTCCCTAGGCCTGTTGATTAAAAGCATACAACTCAAGTTCACAGAATCAGCCTACTAGTTTATTTGTCGACATTGATTTCAAGATATGGCTAGTTCATCAGTGCTAGCAAATAAAGATCATAAAAAGCATTTTTGTTAAACTTCACATCCTTATTCCCAATAGATAACACATAGCAAACAGATTGTTACTATTTCCTTTCCCAGAAAATGAGATTTAATTCTATTCACCAAATGCATTTTCAAAAACTTAAGGAACAGAAAATAAAAATTGTTTTCAGATAATGCACATGCACACCTGTCTCTGACTTGATGGTGCCTCCCACCATTATCTTCATGCCACAAGACAGGAAATGGTTTAATGTCTAATGGAGTGAGGACCTACAACAACACAACCAAGTGTTTTTAAACATTGATAAACTCCATGATGATCCCAATAATAGAAAGCTCCATCACCTTAAAATAGAAAGACTGTCCAGACAATAATTTGACCAGGAATCCAAACGTCTTTGAGCTATCTACTCAATGGAAAAAGGAAAAGGAAAGCTAGTGGTAACTGGTAAGAACATCAATCAGGCATACCTTTTTGGGCATAACTACAGCTGGTGGTGGTTCTGGGATGTGTCTATGACGTGCGGGATTGAGGTATGTAATGTTTCTACAAAGAAAGTTTGCTCAAATGAATTAACTTCATAGGATAAATCGACATTAAGTTTCTGAAGGCTACAACGCAAAAGGAAGACTTACAAAACTTGGTTGTATTCAATATTTGGCAGTCCCTTAACAGGGGAAGGCACTACACTTAGCCAACCATTCCTTTCAGATATCCAAAGATATCCATTCATTCCACCACTGCAACAGGTCAACAAAACATGGTATAAAAACTAAATACAGCTGAATTATAAGCACATTTAATGGTAAAAATTAACAATGGGTTTAACCAACCTTGCAGTTGTGTTGATTGGTGAGGCATTTCTTTCAGCTTGTGGTAAACAACAGCAAGATTGGTAGTAAAAATTGATTTGATGAGCCAATGGGTGAAGAGGATGGACATATAACAGATCAAGCATCACACTATTGCGAACCTGCTCTTCTGCCTGAATCAATATATTTCAGATTAACAAACTTGATCACAATAAATACTAACAAAAAGATTATGCTTAAGACATCATACATCAATGCTATTTCTGCTTGTAACAGCCCTAAACCTCATGGTAATCATCCTCCAAGGAAATGTAAAAATTTAACGTCTCACTGAACTGCTACCCAGGATGGGAAAAGAGGAGGGGGGAGGACAAAAAAAATTCTAGCGAAATCAGAGCTTTTGCTCTTAGTGCAGATAACTGGGAGCAAACAAATGACTTTTATTTCAAAATTTAATATAAAAGATTGATGAACACTTGATCCTGCCTCTATCAAAATGTTAATGCAATCTCTATTGACTTTTGAGTAATCAACACTTCAACAGTTTCAAGATCTCCCCCATGGTGGAACTACACTTTAGAAATGGAACAACAAAATTATCTAATAAAATGGCCACTACATCAAAGGATGCTCCATGTGGCAATGAAATTTATGAATAGTATATTAAACAATACAAACCGTTAAATTGGCTTCAAGCTTCCATGTTGCAGCAAGTAACTTCCTCTCATCAATAAATGGCAATTTAGCAACCCCCTGGGTCCAACCAAAAAAAGGAATGATAACTTCCAACATATGTATTAAGAAATCTCATCAAAATAAACTAAGTGTTTCTGTTTGTTACAATAGACTTTACCTGCCATGCAAAACGTTTACCATTCATGTCAATCTCAAAGTCTGCAACACAAGAAATCCAGGTAACCTTTGGAATGAAAAAACTTTGCAGGAGATAAATGGATTAGTAAAAACAAATGATTTTACCAGAGGGATAGAACTTATAGATAGGTGATGAAGGATCAGTCATTAAGTTTCTATACTCTTTTGGCAAAGCATGAGAACTGTAACAGGAAAGAGCTATAACCTTGTTAGCACATGCCGTAGAAATGATAAGAGAAAACAACCACTAAGAGCCATCTAAAACACAAAGTCTAAAGGCTACATGTCAAAAAAGAAGAAACCTTGCAGCAGGCAATGTTCCCATGAGCTGGTCAAAGGGTTTAAAAGCCTCGCCCAAGAAAAAGGTTATTTCCAAATCAGCTAGGTCTTTGAGATCCGAAGCAAATGGAGCATAGTGATAGGGATAAAACCTGAAAATACAGTAGAATAAATTGAAAAATGGCTTCTAACTATACCTCATGACTGGAAATCCTTAATGTGGCAGACCATGCAGCACATATGACATGGGAATTTAAACTATAAGGTAGGTCACGGCAAAGAGCTCATAACCACTATTTACTTGTTAAACTGCTTACCAAGACAAATAAAGCACAGCAAGAATTTCAGAACAAGTTCTTTTTTCTCTTTGCCACGTTATCCATCAGCCTTTCTAAATTCTATCATCAGCATAGAAGTTTAATAACTTATACATATGCAAGTAATGAAATTTTGACTTGGGCCTGTTTGGTTTACTGTTGAAACTCGGCCAATAGCTGATGATAGATAGCAGTTAGAAGCTGATTGTTGATGGTTATCCTTAATTAAAAACATTGATTGGTTACATGACTGCTAGTTATTGCTTTGTGTCACTTAACTTTTTTTCAAATGAAAAAACTACAAATGAGTTATTGAATTCACTTAAAATTCATAAAAATATAAATTTCTAATTAATTCATGAAATAATTATGCCAAATTGATCCAGTAAATTATTTGTTCTACCACTAAACCTTTTGATGTACAATATATCATCAATTTTACTACCCAACCAAAGAGACAGAAAGTAAATGAATAATGACTACCGAGATAACCTCAACACACAAAAGACCAAAGGAAGACTTTTTTCTTAAAATTCATAAAATTCATAAAAAAATAAATTTCTAATTAATTGATGAAATAACTAAACTGAATTGATTCTATGAACTCTTTGTTCAACTACTGAACCTAAATTATTTGATCTACTACATCAACTTTACTGCCAAACAAAATGGAGTTTTTTCTACCCAAATACAAAAAGGCACAAACTGAGAAACAATTAGGGATAATTTTGTAAAAAAGAAATTCAAATAAAAACCCAACAGCGAGTTGTTAAGTAGTTGTCACAAAAGTTAGTAATAACACCAGGGTAAAAATTCAACCAACTGTTCCTAGGGTAGCTGTTAGGGGCCAATTGATAGCTGTTGACCCAAACAGCAATGGTAACACTTTGGTAAAAATTTTACATTAGCTGTTGTAGGTGGTTAAGGATATTGCCTTTAGGACTCCAAGTATTAGCACATCACATTTGTTTCTCTTCAAGCCTCCAATGCATTGCATCCCTCTTTCAGTTTTCCATTAAATCAACTTTTTAAAAATTCAAGGTCTCTTTAAGCACAAACAAGAGCTTAGACAAGTTGGTACTCACTATCTGCTACCTATAAAAACCTTCTTTGGGTGAAGATCAAGGGCTCAAACCTCTGTAATTGTTATGCAGCTATCTTTCAATATACCCACAAAAAATCCATTTTAGCACCCATTTTTTCAATCTATTCCCAATAATAATAATAGGGTTTTTTTTACCTGTGCTCTTAGGGTGCAATTAATGCACCTTTTTGACATTAATTGTATAGAAAAATACAAAAGCTTACCTTAATTTCACCACAATGCCATGTGGGTTAGGACAAATGTTAGAAAACCCCATAACAAATAACAATAATAATAATAATAATAATAATAATAATAAGGAAATTTCTAACCTGTGCCCTAAGCCTCATTAAATGCAATATCTGCAATTAATTCTGCACAAATTTTATACCAAATTCAATTAAAATAAAATATAAAATGTAAAAATATAATATAATATAATATTTGTACTTGAAATCTGTAAAAAAGTATGAATTTGATATGAAAATTTGTGCAAAATTAATTACAAATACTATAATTAATGAAGCTTAGGTTAGACAAACCCTAATAATAGTAATAATGATAATAATAACAACAACAAAAACATTCTAGGCTGTTCCGGACTGTAAAACAGCAGACTCTAATAATAATAATAATAATAACAACAACAAAAACATTCTAGGCTGTTCCGGACTGTAAAACAGCAGACTCTAATAATAATAATAATAATAATCAATATAAAGAATGTCTTTATTTGATTTCACATAAAAGAAAAGCAATGAACCGCCAAACAACCACTGCTATATAACCAAGTGGTAACCTCAATTGGCAACAGCTACCCGCTATCAACTATTAGTTACTTGCTACCAGCTGACCTTGACCAGCTAAACCAAACAGAACAAGATAAGAAAAGGCAAGTAAAAGGAGCACAGCTTGTATGATGCTTTCATTTATAATTCCAGTAAGCTTATTTTTTAGATGACATGTGAAAAGAATAAAATTTTCACTTTGAATTGCAGATGAAACTGACCATTGCCAAGAGCGAACATCCTTGTAATAATAGTGGCAGACCCAGCATAAACCTTCAACATATTTCAAAACCTGAAAGTACATGTAGCTGTCAGGTAAAATATTTAATCAACAGTGCAGGGGATTGAGACAAAGAATACTGAAAGATCCTACATTCCAGAAAGCTTTTTTGAAAATGGTTTTGAAGTTCCAGCATTGAAATATGATACGGTTTAAAATACAAAAACACTGAGAAAATGCAATCATGTGGGTCACAATATGCAGGAAAGAAGATGCCAAACACGTCAACTTTGAAAAGTTACTCAACTTACAACATCTTTTTTAACTTTATCAATGTCATCTGGATTTGACAAGTCAAATTTCTCAGCATAATACCTTTCTTTGTATCCTGGCTCCCCTAGTTTAATCTGAGAAGAAAAAAAAGAAAAAAGCAGAAACCAATACAGTTAACGTATTTCATGAAAATTTTACCTTGCTCAATATGTTCCTCAGTCCTCAAACATTTCCAGGTTAATCAACAATAACAGAAATCCTGGACCCCTATGAGATTTTAATTAATCAAATATCTCAGAGTCATTTCGCTAGTTTATCAGAGTGGAAGGGTCACGGTGTCATGCAACATGTTGTACACAGTACATTAGATGGACATCAAAAAAGTTCATGAACAATAATATTCCCAAACTTCACCATGATTATCAAATTATAGCATAAAAGAACCACTTTTGCAAGACCAACCAGGTGACTTAATTCATCTGTCTAGACTATTAATGAAGAACATAGTAATATCACAGACCTTGTCTTGGATAGGTGCTTGTGGCTCTTCAGATGACTCTGTCTTTGGTTTAAATTTCGTCCGCTCATTATTCTCAATTGCCTGAAAAAGATCAACAGTCTAGGTGAAACAAAATTTTTGCTGCATGAGAAATTAAAAAGAGAGTAGTACAAATCATAAATTGAAAAAAGCCAAAACTCCATCAACCTCCTCACCTCCAAAACCACCACCACCAAATAAAGCATAAAGGAAAGAATCTCAACATTGGCATGCCAAGCAGACAATTAACTACATCTGTAACTTAAAAAAAACTACATGTTTAACCTCAAGCCATCTTAACGGAGTCATGGTGCAGCAGCCTGAGTATTATTTTGCCTTTAATAATTTTGCACAGCCACCACCCACACAACCATTTAGCATAAATTTTCCACAGAAGTTCCCTCTCTACGTATACGCATATTTGTCTGTGTGTATAACTGCATGCCTACATATGGGTTTTCAGTCAGCAGAAATTTTCCTACCATTTAACTCTATCCATAATCAGCTACTTCATTTCACCCATTCAAAGTGGCATTCGCACTCAGCTCCTCTCACACACTTAGTGAGGACCTTGCTTTTAGACCTAATAAGTAATAACCAACAGAATGAATGGCTATGCTTTTTTTTTTTTTTTTGGCCAACAACCTATGCTATTTTTTATCAGCCTGCACAATTAACTTCTATTATTATGAATGGAGTACAAGGAGCTCTCCTACCTATCAAATAAAACACTACAATTCAAGCCCAAACATAGCCAAAACACAAAATAACCATTGCAACAACCTATGCTTTATTTTTCATTTTCTATTTATTTTCCCTAATCACAATGAAAACATGATTTTATGCAGCATCTAATGGATGATTGAGACCCTGATACCTAATTAACCTTTGAAAAACTGAAAGTTCAAAGCTCCCATAGGGTCAAACAGATAAGATTTAAAATAATTTTTCTAAACATGAAGGAAGCACGGTACCTGCTTTATGCGAGTCCTCTTCTGAAAGATTTGATCTTCATAAACAGCAACAGACTGGATGAAATGCTCTACTCTATGCAACAATACCTGAAAAGAAACCAGCAAGTGCAAAAGAAAAGCAATGATTCTACCTTGCACCATTGGCTTTGACAATAGGATGGAAACTGTCACCAGAAAGCCTAGAACTAACAAACAAAGATCTCTAGGAGCCCGTTTGGTATAGCAATTAAAATTCAAGTGGGTGATGGTTGGTGGCCAGCAGGCTGCAGTACAGATTGGAATAATTGTTTGGATAATCTTTAGATGTTATGTAGCATACGGTTTGATGTTAAATGACTAATAAGGGCATATTTAATAGTAGTTGATTTTTTTTTTTTTCCCCAACATTCAAATATGCAATCACAAATAAAAGACTCACTTCTTCCCTTTTATTGTAGTAGAGAAAATAATTTCTTATTTTTAAATATATGGGAAAAACAAACTTCTTTATTAATTACTTTTCTAAGTGTATGTTTGGTTTGAGGGATGGGAGCGATGAGTTTTTTAACCAATCAAATTATACTACTTGCCAATATTACAATCAGATTGGTCAAAAAATCCATCCCTCCCCTCTGTTTCCCTCAAAACAAACATACCCTAAGTTCCATATTATCCATTATATACTTTCTTAAACTTAACTATTATTAAATTATGATTTAAGTCTTGCTAAAATATAATTACAAGAGAAGTAAATTTACTGTGGAGCACAATAGAAATAATTGAAAATAACTATATATTTACCAATTTTCAAACATGGTTGTTTGAATTTGTTGAAAAAAATCAATTTCATACCTTAAATTTTAAGAGAACAATAAAATCTCAAGATTCTTATTTAAAAATATGGAAGTCATTAACTACTTGAAAATCTTTTCAAAGATATTATTCAACTTGTTTTGGATAAGGTTTGAATAGGTAATTTGGTCAACAAAATGAAAAACAGACTCATCTGCTAGTGGTTTGAGCCAAAAAGCTATCTAGGGTAGTTTTTCCAATCCGCTAGCAGATTAAGCTATAATAGCTAACACAGATACTAAACCACAAAATAAAATTTTACCAAACACAAAAATTATACATTGAGAAATAAAAAATTTTACCAAACACCTATATATGTTGCACTGGTTTCATCAAACTGCTTTCTGCTGCACCACTGCCCCTAAACCTCTTTACCAAACAGGCCCCTAGAACTAGGATACTACAGTTGTATGGCATATTCTAACAAAGATTTAGCAGACAAGCAAAATAAAGAAAAATTACCTCACCCGCATGAGTGAGATAACCACCCATGGCAGTGAATTCCCTTCTGTAAATATGCATTAGTAGACTTATGGCACCCTGCAGAAGTAGAAAGGTGGATCATACACATGACAATATAGATCACATTGAGGACTAGCAAATTTGATTACAAACTACCAACAGCATTTATATACCTCCCTGATTTCCAAAGTTGGCAAATGCGGTAGGAAGTCGTTGCCAACAAAGAAACATAGGAAAACAAAATCATCTACTATCCGTTCAAAGTTAATCTCAAATGGAGGATTAGGGATCTCCAAATCATATTGCAAATATTCTCGCAACACCCATATGTTTAGGAACTGTCCAAAAATCAATTGATTAAAACAAAGCAGGCAAAACAAGCAAGGAAAAGTAAATCACATCACTTAAACGCAGATCTAACTTTTCAACCTGATATTTCTTCTTGTGAATTGGAGTATTATCTACAACATTGCAGTCTTCAGTTTTATCATCTGGCTTCCCATGGCACTCTGCTGCAAAATGCCCAACTTGGCCACAAAGAAAACATTTTTCTTGATGCCCAGGAAGAGTGATTAACTGTAATGTAAGGAAAGCGTAAACAAATTATTGATAAAAAAAAACAAACAGAAAGTATCAGCAGATAAGTGACCTACCTCTCTTAATATAGAAAAGTGAACCTCATGTGTAGCTAAAGACAACATGATCAAATCTGCATCCTGATGAATATATAAAAATGCATAAATTAGGAAATTATTGAGTCAAATTGTCAAAAAGCATACAATGCCATAAAATAAGGAAATGAAGACCTAAAAATGAAATTCACTCTTACCAGACTATATAGACAGTGTCGAGTGTTTGGATTGAAACCAGAAAGGTTACGTTGCAACCGAATGAATGACATGATCTTGTGTTCTCCCTCACCAGGAAAATTTGCATCAGAAAGAATAACCTTCAAATAAGCATCAAATGTAGCCCCATAAATAAATTTACCAAGACAAAGTGTCCTGAAAGCCAGATTGCAGGGGAAAATAAAACAGAAAGGATGGAATCATCCTATCTTTGAAACACAAGGGTGAAGAAGGAATGTCCATCACACCTTCATATTCTGCCAACCAGGATTGCGGTTCAACCTAGTTTGTATGTAATACTGAAGGGCTAATGATAGCACTTCCATAAATTTAGTGCCAGGCGTGATGACATTTGAATCACATGTTTCAGGCTTTTCCTTAAGGGGCAAGTTTTCCCGCTCGACCTCAAACTCTTTTCTCAATCTTTCCTCTTCAGCTTCCTATTATAACATTAAATTGAAAAAGATAAATCAACTGGATCTGATTATTAAGAGCCATTAAATAATGTAAACAAAAGACTTACAGCCTCAGCAGCATCCTTTGCAGCTCTATAGCGCCGAGAGCGCTGCTGATTCATTTTAGCTCTGGGTGCAACACCATCTAAAATTGTTTTGAAGAATTAGTTAAAGAAACAACTGAAATAAGAAGAGATGAAAAACATGGAAACAAACTACCAATTGCCATGTAAAGAAGCTTCCTTGGACGAACCAATGAGAAGAGATGGTCAATGTAGTCAAATATTGATTTAAATACATCATCATAGGTGGCAGGAGCAGGCTGCATGAAATGAAATAAATGAATTCGGGTATACATACAGTAATGAACTGATTACATCATGATATGCAATCAAAAAAGAATTGGGGTATATATGCCACCATATGAGGAATAAAAAAAAAAGATCTACATCATGCAGAAAAGGAAAATCAAGGCAGTCCTTCATAATGTAACAATTATGCACACAAAATCATGTTAAAAATAGATTTATTGAAAGATGAGTAGTAGACAATTCCTTCATAATTGACAGAAAATAACACTCATTAATGACCATTAAAAAACCCCACATCATGCAAAATCTAATTCCAATATCAGTTTTCCCTTTCCATCATATCACTCTTCTGAACTCTTAATGCTCAGTTTACCTAATGAGATTTACTAAAGTTACAAGAAACTTCAACAGATTATCTACTGCACCTATGGCCATTCCTCAGTTAGCCATAATCTGCAGTGAACTTTTTCAACACTCTCCACACACTCCCATGCACATCCTGGGTGCATGATCAACTAGTATCTTTCTTAAAACAGCTACCACTAACTCAAATTCAAAGTTCAAACACACCATTTTCTATTATTTTCTTTTCTTTCACGTTTCATCAAAAGCAAAATCAATAATTAATCTATTTTGCCTCTCCTCTTGATAGTCATTGAATCATTGACTCTCTTCAGCTCATTACAAACATTTCAAAGCCAAAGTTGGAACAAAATCATCATATCGTGCCAATTTCAACTATATCTCTTCCTACATTAACAACTGCAATGCTAAAATCAAATTATAAGAAACTTAATGTACCCAAATCTACCTTTCCCTCAGGGTGGAAACAAGGGTGAATAATCCCATTCATGTCGAGATACAAGTTATCGAATTCGAAACCGTTGGGGTTAGGTTTGGAGACGTTGACTGGTATCATGTTCCCGCCCTCATCTTCTCGCGGTTCCTCCTCGATCACGTCGGCAATTGACAGTGGGTACCGATCCGCTAGCCACCTGTAGAACGCTGGTACCCCCATGGTAGCGGTGGTTCTGGTCAAATCCGGCGACGTGCCGAGGTTTAACTGGTAAGTAGAGGAGGCGCGGCAATCCTGGGGGTTTTTATTTTATTGCAGACGGTAGAAAGTTAAAGACTTCAAGGTCACCGTGCGTGGGGTGATGAGTGGAATGACGGTACTGGGCACTTTTGTGTCTGTGGACAAAAATGTACCTTCATATACATGGTAAAGCTTTATTGGATGGGCATTGTGTTTAAATTTGTAATGTGCCTATCATTATCACTATCTAATAAAGCTTTAAATGGAAAAATCATACAGTTTATATCCTTATCTAGATTTAATTAAAAGGTTACTACTTGATATAGAAATAAAAAAGTATATTCTTAAATTTTTTTTTTATACTACATATTCCTAAATTAAAAAAAAAATAAATTGTATTTTTATCTATATTTTTTTTGTAATACATAAAATTAGTTATGTATATAAAAACAAATGTTATTGTTAAAATAATTATAATTAATAAAACCTCCTAGCAATTGGGGATCCTAAGACTATGGTAGAACAACCCTTGGTTGTTTTGCAGAGTATTCAGCCTTCCATACCTTTGCATGGGGGATTCACCACTAATTTCATCCTCTTCCTTCTTTAATGGCTTTAGTGAGGGGTAAGAGGCCTAGTTTTGAAGGTTTGTGGGAGATGAGGGTGGTGTGCGGCTTGGAGTCCTTGACCTTGGTGAAGGGACTTTTGTGGCTGCTTACTATCTTTAAAGGTTTGATATCTAGTTTTGAGGGTTTGTTGGAGATGAAGGTGGCAAGTGGTGGGATCTTTGTATCTATGGTCAAGTGTTCTTTAGGGCGGCTCGCTGGTGGTGAAGGTGGAGGCATGATACACAACGTCAAGTGCATAGGTGTTGGGCTTGCTAGAATTAGGCAACTTGGAAGCTGGGGCTTGTTTTGAGATTTTGTTTCATGGTGTTTGCGGTGGGGATTAGTATCCTACTAAGGCTCTGCTTCCTCAAGAATTATCATTGGTGCTTGATTTTATGGTGTAATGGGTTGCGTTGGATGTGTGATGAGTGTTTGGTTTGGAATAACTTTGCTTTTTTAGGTATGTCTTAATAGGGAAAACTTGGATGGTGGTTGGCTTTTTGGGAAGGATTGATTGGTATACTATGTAAGGGGTCTGTGTGGAGATAGATTTAGTTTAGGATGGGGTCAAGAATCCAAAGCTTGATTGAAGGTGGTATCAATTGTGCGAGTTGTATCAATTCTTAGGACATCTTCCTTTGGCAAGGGTCATTATGTTGTTAGTTTTTTGTAGAATATGGAGGATCGGAATATGAAAAATGTTTTGGTTGGTGCCCAAGGATCATATCATAGTAGAACAGAGGAGTTTGATTCACAATGTTTGTTTAAAATTGTCTTGGGAATGGTGGTTGTTACTATAATTCGAAAATATATTGGGATGTGGTTTAACCTCTTTTGTGTTAAGTGTGTTGTAATAGTGTAATTAATGTTCAAGAGATAAGAGAAATGATTTAAACAATTATATCTAGGTTTTATTTTTATTTTATTTCTCTTCTCAATATATTAGTGTTTGGATTATTTTGCACTTAATTCAAAATATTAGTTGTAGCAAATGAAATAATCTAGGATAACAGAAGATCAAAAACCATTGAATTTGATGTCTCAAACTCCAAATCAATGATTCAGAAAGATAGTTGTTGGCTAAGCAAGATGAGAGTGGTTTGCAACAAGAAGAGGGAGTAGAAGGGTTGGGGAGAGAGACGAAAGAGAACAAAGAAGGCTAGGGTTAAGATAGCGGCAAAAGTAAAGAATAAAATCTTATATTTGCCCTTTATATTTATAATATGTTTAGGTTAAGAAAAATAGTGAGGAGGGGAGTAAAAAAAATTTCCTTTATTTTATTTTTTCTTTTAATTTAATTAATTATCCAAACAAGTGAAAATGAAGAAAATAAAAAAATATATAATTTCTCTTCTTTCTATTTTCCTCTCTTTCATTTTTTTTCAACTCAAATATAAGATTAAGGTTAAAAGGATATTAAATTTTTTAATCAAATAAAGTAAAATAGAGTAGAAAGGGAAAATAATAAGGAAGTATTAGGTCTGCAAAGGATTCTGTATTTGGATATAAACAATTCACAAATGAAGAAGAAGCAGAAATTGGCTTCAGTTTTTTTTTTTTTTTTTGGTTGATTGGGCCTACCCAATGAGTTAACAGTTCTTAAGCCTTGACATTGAAATTGGCTTCAGTTTTGTTTTTTTTTTTGTTTGGTTGATTGGGCCTACCCAATGAGTTAACAGTTCTTAAGCCTTGACATTGAAACCAACTGAATTAGGCTTGGTTATTGTCCGACAATTAATGGGAAGCATAAAGGATCTTTATTTTTACCACTAATATTTTTCAACCAAAGGTAGAAAACTAGAGGTGGCAAACTGATGGGTTGGGTCGGGTCGGATTCGAGTTAGATTTATTTAGATTTTATGGGTTGAGTCATATTTAATTATAGGTTAATAAA